GCCACCGTCGCTCGCGAGGAAAGCATGCTCCGCCTTCCGCTGGCCCTTCGTGGCCCTCCTCCCCTCCGGGAGGCTCGCGTGCACGGTACTGACTACCCTGATTATCTCGCCCCGGTCCAGGTTTGTAGCCGTCTCCAACAAGAATTTGGCTTGTTGGTACTCGGGTGGAAGGGCATCGACAAAGTGTGCGAGAACAAAAGGTGTGTCAGCGTTGAGCCCTTTTTCCCGCAGTCGTGAGTACAGCAGCTCGAGCGTGTATAGATGCTCGACAGGGTTGCTGTTGCTGTGTGCGGGGATCGTGAATCGAAACATCTTCTTCATGAGGGCTTGTTTCGAGCCCTGCGACTCCGGGTTGTGTACTTTGTCGAGCTCCGCAAGGATCTCCTTTGCGGTCTCGCATTTATTCACGATTGCCTTGTCGGCTTCTCGGACGATGGCTGTAGTCACAAAGTGGAACGCCTGGAGGCCCCTCTGAACCTCATCACTTGTGTAGCCCAAGCTATACAGCTCCGAGCTAGGCCTGTTTGGGTCACCGACGGGTGCGTGCTTCTCGGCGTTGCCGATAAGCTGCCCGTCCAAGCCTACGGTTTTTGCGGCTTGAATAAGTGCCTTCCTCCACGAGTCGTACCCGTGGCCGCGACTCTCCCCTTCGAGACGCGGTGCATTGACCGTAACACGTTTTTGGCTACTACTGCTGTACCCATCAAAAAATGCTCCGGCCCCTCGAATTGCGGTTTGCTCACCTTGGGGGTTTAACCCCCTCGCTTCCCCGCGGTCCGGTCCTACGCCCGGGCTCATTCCGGCTGGCCCCACAGGATTCGCTCCCGATCTACCTGCCCAGCCAGTCGTCACTCTCGCTGGAACCCCAGGACTCGCTCCCGGTATGTTGTCCCAGCTGCTTTCCCGCGGGTGATTTCGCCCATCACGGGCCGTTTCCCGCGAAAACGCCCCGCCGCCCCCAGGCGGCAGAGCCTCTCTCTGGCTTGGGACGGCAGCACCGCCGCCCCTACTGGCATCGCCCGCCACGGCGTCACCAGGCTCCTTCCTCTTCAACTCCATCACTACGCTCATCAGCTGCGATAACTGGCCCTCCAGCCTCGCAATCGCCGGATCCTCGGCGTGTTGCTGTTGCATGGCTGAGGTCTCTTCCCCCAGCCCTGCGACGGAACCGCTGTCCGACGCAGACATGACCCGATGCGGCTATCCCTCGAGGGACAATCAATCTAAACTCTAGAGTGTTTGTCGGCCGTACTCCGCGTACTTATCGGGTATTGTTTGTGTAGTGTATTAACTTCAGACGATGAGGCAACGCCCGTACCCAGGGCGCTGTCGTGCTCAGAAAGGAGGAGTGGCAGCAGGGCTGCTGCACACAACAAAAGGGGGCCCCGGTGCATCATCACCATACCCCTACCTAAAAGGTTCTACACCATCTGCGTCACACTTGTACGTACGGCTAACATATCCAAACCATGTCCGTAGACCCACGAACACGCTGGTCCCCAAATTGCCACCCCCTGTTTCTGACGGTACAAAAGCTAAACCACCTCGGCCATCTGATCCCGGTCAGTGATGCCAGCTGCAGCTCAAGTGTAGACGCAAACCAAAACCTATCCTTAGTGATGTTGAAGGCTCCTAGGCACCGCTTGTTAACCAATGAACCTGTCGTTTGAGAGGAGAAAATTGAGAAAGACATGAGAAGAAACAAACATGAACATGACACCTTCGGGGATGCGTTGAGAGGATGGGCAAAGGATACGTGTACGTACATGCTTCAGTGCCACATCCACATTTCCGTGCTAGGTCAATATAGACAAAATACCACCCTGCTTTTTTTGCTTACCAGTGGAAGTCCCATCACGCTTGATCCGCGAATCACCGCCGCCGTCGCAGACCCTCTTTCCCCATCCCCCACCGCCGCTTGCCTCGGCTCCCACGGCAGACCGAGATGCGGTAACCGGCTCGGCCGTAGGTGTGCTGCTTGTATTGTCCCCCCACTGGCGAGAGTGCTGTTGGGCGAGTCAGGTGCCGCTGCTGCTGCTTGTACTGTGTTTACCGCAGGTACTCGCGGAGGGGCCTGCTTTACTTCTCCCCGCTCCTCCGCTTCCTCGCCAGCCGCTGGTGATGATGGCAATGTGCTGTCTACCACCAACTCTGATGGCTGCCCTCCCCTTTGAGCCTCAACCTCCTCGCCCACCACAGACGCTCCGCCCCTGCCGCTGCTTCCACTGCCGATCGTTGCCAAGTATGCTGCTTTTGCGGCTCGTACCACCACACCAGCTGCGGACGCTTCCACAGACGGCACAGATGATGAGGCCGCTTCAACCATCGGCGCAGCCTCTTTTGCTTAGTGAACCACCGACAATCTGACCACGAGGGTCGGTCATCCCACTTTTCGCGGGTGTGCTACAGTGCGCCCGAGGTGTCCCGAATCCATAGTTAGCGGTCACCGCACACTGCCAGTGCTAGACTCCTTTCGCTGTAAGTTGATCGTTCCGTCTTTGGCGTGGCGAAGACAACATTTCATTATTTTCTCCCATGGGATGCCAAAAGAAGGACGTTTGCTGCAACCATCGTGTTCGCACGATGGATTTTTGCGGCGACCATCTTGTGTTGTGTTCATCGCCCCTCTCTTGTTGGGCATGCGAGGAAAAAACAACGACACAAGACGCGTGTGTGTCGGTGCGTTGTGTTTTAAGAGCGAGTTTCACTGTAATTTCGCCGCACAATTGGTGGGAACTTCAGTCGGCTGTATAGTTGCTGCCGATTTATCCGGCTGTATAGTTGCTGCCGATTTATCACTGGCAGGTCAAGAAGATAGACATGGTCGGGTATATTGTTTCGATGCGATCTCTAATGAATGCCACCGGCACGCATCACACACATCACACACACGTTTCTCTATCTCGCCTGTTCGCACGCTCGCTCTCCTTCGCCTCGCTCTCGTGCGCCCCTCTCTTGTGTTTCTCTCTTGGTTTCTCAGGCTGTGTATTTTTTGGTCACGTCGTACAACATCACAGTATCCCCATTGCTGGGTCACTAGCAGATATCAATTTTCACGGTGCCGCTGAGTCACGTCGTACCAAAAAAGTCACGTCGTACAACAAAACACACAAGATGCATGCATGATTGTGAGCTACTGCAGCAGGCAGAGCAGGCAGTAGAAAGAGATTATCTCTCTTGTGTCTCTGTCTCTCTCTCTCTCTCTCTCTCTCTCTCTCTCTCTCTCTCTCTCTCTCTCTCTCTCTGCCTCTCTCGTCACACGGGCTGTAAAAGTCACCACGTCGTACAATAAAGTCACGTCGTACCAAGAAAGTCACGTCGTACAAAAATGTCACGTCGTACAAAAAAAGTCACATTGTACAACAAAACACACAAGATACATGTATGATTGTGAGCTACTGCAGCAGGCAGAGCAGGCAGTAGAAAGAGATTATCTCTCTTGGGTCTCTGTCGCGCCTCTCTCTGCCTCTCTCTCGTTACACGGGCGGTGTAATTGTTTTGGTCACGTCGTACAATGTCACGACACCCCCATACTGCATGGGTATGGTAGATTTCAATTTCCAGTGTGCCGCTGAGTCACGTCGTACAAGACCACACCCGCCAACACCATGGTATGGTACTGTGCGGACAAGAGATGTCCACCGAAAACAAGAGCATGCTATGGCCACAGAGGTGAGCAGATGATGTGGTAACCGCGTTTCTCTCTCGCAAGTTCTCTCGCCTTCTCTCCCATCATCTCCCCCCCTTTCCTTTATTCTCTCCCCCGTCCCCTACTTCTCTCTTTCTCTCTTTCTTCATCTCTCTCTTATCTCTCTCTTCCTCTCCCTGTCTCTCTTTTATCTCTTTCTTTTCTCTCCCTCTCCACAGTACGATGTAGTACAAGCGTCTACGTTCCAAGCCTGTTTGTTGCCCACAACTACGCGCACACGCGGCGAGATTACACTCGCTACTGCTGCGGCGACACACTCGCTACCTGTTGCTCTCTATCTCTCTCTACTCTCGATGTCTCTCTCGCTGCCTCTCTTTCTTTCTCTCTCCCCTCTCCACAATAGTACAAGCGTCTACATTTCAAGCCAATTGCCCACAACTACACGCACACACGGCGAGATTTACACTCGCTACTGCTGCTCTACTGCTGCATGTGTGTTTGTTTTACCAGTCAGCACACTTGAGCAGAGTAACTAACACCTTCCTCCTTTCACTCCTCTCTTCATCGTGCAGATACCACTGGGAAGCCACGTGGGGACAAGATGTGTTTCGCACACAAGACACCCACTATGATCAGCCTGAATGCGACGCACTGTAAGTACGCCGGTTGTAGAAGATCTCCTTCGTACGGCTGTGTCTCCGAATCAACAAAAGGCCAAAGAATATTTTGTTCAGAACACGGCAAAGGCCAGAGAGGGATGAGCAACGTAAAGGACAAGAGTTGTGCCGAACCAGAGTGTAAAACCCTAGCCAACTACGGTTTCGGCAAGAGCACGTACCGTGGCTATCACAAAAAGAAAGGGATGAGTAAACGCGCGGCATCGGCAGCTGCTTCGGTGATGCGGGGGCCGGTAGTTTCATCGCCAGAATCAGCAGCAACGGTGGTAGACACATCGCCAGCATCAGTAACGGTACGAGAGGGGGATAGCGTGGGAGAGTTAGGGCAGAGACCAGCATCAGCAGCAACTGGGTCCGTACAAGATTCAGTGGTAAACACAACAGCGACAACAGCAGCGCGAGGGGAGTGTGAGAGTGAAGGAGGAAGGAAGCCACCAGAGCCGCGCAATAAGTCGGTTGCGGTAGCGGTAAAAGCATTTGCGGCCGTGGCACACACATCGGATCGAGATTCGTCGGTGAACACAACAGCGAGAGATAAGGGGGAGGGGGGAGGAGGAGGGCAGCCATCAGAGTCGGTGGTCAACACAGCAGCGGCTACGGCGGGGGCAGCAGCGGCAGCAGCCGGCGAGGTGGGGCGAGGGGAACGCGAGGACACATCTCCGGCGCTGGTAGCATCACCACCTGTGGGCGAAGGCGAGGAGGGCGATGGGGGAGGCGAGGGGGACGAGAGAGACGAAGTAAGGAAGACGGTGGCGCATGTGGTAGAAGTCACGGTACAAGAAGGGTTAGCAGCGCGCGTAGAAGGGGAGGGGCAAGGAGAACCAACGGAGTCGGCGGTCAACACAGCAGCGGCAGCAGCGGGCGTGCAGGGGGAGGCAGCAGCGGAAGCAGAGGCTGCAGCGGGCGTGCAGGGTGAGAGAGGTGGGGCAGCAGCGGCAGCATCGGCAACAGCGGGCGAGGTGGGGCGAGAGGAACGTGCGCTGGTGATAGACGCATTTGCGTCGCCGGCAACAGCTGCACCACCAGCACCAGCACCAGCACCAACACAAGCGGTACCACAAGGCGCTGAAGGTAGTTCGGGCACCGGAGCGGCGGCAAGCGGGGGTGGGAGTGGTGGTGGAAGCGGGAGCGGAGGTGTTCATGAACACGAGGTGGGTGTTGGCGATTCCAACGCGCCTTGTGTCTGAAACTTGACTTTACGTAAGAAAAGGGGATGATTGCTTTCGCCGAAAGAAAGACGGCAACAAAAAAGGCCTGTGCTTGTGTGACCCGATCTACTTTCTTCACAGCGGCTTACTTGTTAGCGGACCGTTAGTATACCGCCACACACTGCAGAGGTGCATGTTGTCCGAACATTCATATCGGCTGCTTGACGCGCTGTCACCGACCCACTCTTTTAATCACCCGTTCCATAGAAGTACGCCGTTCCCGTGACCGAAGCGGACTCAAATGACGATGGTGCCGCCACGCAGCACTCGAGTCTTGTCTTTGACCTGTGCCCATAAGATTGCACACCGCGTGCCCTGCTTGTGTACGTCAGTGGTCATTGCTGCATAGGGTTTGTTCTGCTCGCGCGACACACTGCGGAGGCAGCACGCACCATTTCAAGAACAAATTAGGACATACCTTTTCGACGACAATCTACAACACCTCTTCGAGAACCGATACGGGACAATCGTCAACATCCACAAGCCTACATCCCCAAGATTTAAGCGGTTCGTGTCGCCATGCTTACGAGTAGGTCAGGCCGCCGAAGGAGCTCACGCAGGCGATCAGGCCCGGCTTTCCGCCCCGATCCTTCACCGACTTGATCATGAGGGGCGCCGCGAAGCACGAGGCCACGTAGTGGCTCCTAAGACCCACGGTTATCAGAGAGTCCCACGCGTCCGCCTGGGTGTTTGTATTCGAGGCACGACCAGAACAGCAAATGATGCGTTTAGGCATTCACATCACATGTTCTTATTGTCCATTAAGGAGATTAGTATCGCTCGTGGAGCCCCAAGTCTTCGGTCAGTGCAACAAGTCCAACAGAAACGACCCCCTCCCGTCGATGAAATCACAAGGTGTTTGTTGTGCTGCTTCTGCGTCGACGAAGAGGGCCGGACCCACACCCCCGGAATGTTTTCGCGTCCCTACTCATACGCCTGACAACCAAAAGGAAGGGTGTTCTTCGCGCTTGGGGGGAGAGCGCCCCAACCATCAACAGAGTACAGGTGCTGCGCGTGTGCTTAAGGCTGCCACCTTCGATGATGAGACGCCCATTGGGACGACACCGTGAACATTTCCTTCGTTCATCCACAGGGAGTGCTTGTTTCCGAATCGAAGGACAAAAGAAGCAGTGGGAACCACAGCAAATAAAAAATAATAGCGAACTCGACTTTTCCTTGAAAAAAAAAGCATGCCCCGAAAAAAAATCAGAGACAATGCTGTCACCTGCGTGCGCGCGTATCAACAAACAAACTACGCGCTCCTCTCACCCCCTGCGTCCAGAACTTGGCCTGGAGTTGATCGCCCGGGCCTAACGCGAAGGCGTTGTTTACGAGGATGTCCAGCCTGCCTTGCTCCGACTCCACCTTCTCGAACAACGCTTTCACCTGTACGGAACGAGCCACCACACAAGAACCCGGGAGTTAAGAACTGTGGCTACACAATAACGAAGACAACTACAAAAAACGTAACCTTAGAATAGGTACACTTAAAAACTATCGTAGTCGATGTTGGGATACAGCCGTGCCTCGCTCAAGGACACCAAAACCAAGGAAACTCCCTCGGCTAAGGACAACTCTTTTGTCACAGGCATGGCGGCTCGTAGAATGTACAACATAAGGAGGGGTATCTACCTTAAGGACACTCCCCCGGCTTAAGGACAGTTTGTTTTAGCAAAACATCATGTGTGTCCTTAGCCGAGGTTCGACTGTACCTGCCCCACAGAGGACATAAGAAAAGTAGGCTCGGTTTTAGGCAAGAGGTTCTTAGGTGGCGCCTCCAGTAGTGAGCAACACGAAGATAGGCCACAACGTTCCACGTCGAAAACGGTATTGACTAGTATACTTCGTGGGTAACCCATCCCAGTCTTCGGCTCACGCCGCGAATAACTGACGTGGTGCTTGATCCTTGAGGCAAGAATCGAAGGTTTTCCGTCATACTGCTGTGGTCTCGTTGGGGAGTTCCACCGAGGCGGGCGTGTGTCGTTGACCAGTACGAATCTAGATGGTGTTCGTTACGCAGGATTGAGGTGTTGCAACAAAGGTGGCGGAATGCTAACACAAGAAATATATGGGTGAGCGCGCGCTTCGGTTCGCTGACAGAGGCAGACGTGCAAAGGAGCGACGGCAGGAGGAGGATTCAAAGCTGCACAGCGGTTGAAAAGGCTGTCGGGAGGATTCAAAGCAAGCTGTAGCGGTTGAATAAGCTGTCGAGAGACTCTTGAGGGAATCATACAGGGCATAGCACGTCATCGGGACGAGAAAGAACTAAACACAGACGTTCATGCTGAATACGCGCTTTTCGTGACGACGGTCTGCTTGGCGCCAGGTCTAACTAAGTAACGCTGTCGTGCCGAACGAGTGTTGTCCCCATGCACACGGCTTTTGACGGTGAACCGGCGGCAAGAATCTGTCGATGTGCTAGCTACGCTCGGAGCTGAGGGGTTTACCAAAGCCATGCCCCCCTGGTTGTCCTCGAGGGCCTGGATGCCGCTACCACTGGTGTCTGGGGCAGCAAACGATTGGAGGTACCGTAATCAGCCACGGAAGCAAAACGCAGAGCAAAAGGTGTGCGTTTTGCGATGGACCAGGCCGCTCCACGAAATACAGTTCGTTGACGTGTGTCTGCGTACCGGACCTGTTCGTCTTTAGCGTGGTCACATGCAACAGGGATCCCTTTTCCGCCGGCGGCCTCGATTTCGGCAGCGGTCTCCTCCAAGCTTCCCCCTATTTCCTGTAGCGCGCGAGAAACGGATAGGATAAAGTTTGTTAGGGGAGCGCACGATTGCATGGGGGAGTTGTGATAAAGTTTCGGCATGCATAAAATTCAGGGTCGTCCTCCAAATCTCTCTTTTGCTGCCGCAAGGCACATGCTACACCCCAAACCTTTCAAAAATAGTTTGGAGAGGTATATCTTTGCTGCTGTTTTGAACTTCAGAACGGCAATCGGCGCAGCCATGTCAAAATAGGGATTCCACTGCTGTGTTCGCCAGTGGTTGCTCTAAGACGCTATCAAGCAGTGCGTGTCGATTCGCAGCCTCTCGTCGCGTGTGAGATTAACGGCATGCGCCGCTACACTACTGCTGTTCAACCCAAAGACCTTTCTTAGCCGCCCTTTTCAAAGTCTTCTTTTACGTAGCAACCAACCAATAACATGTCTCCTGCACGCAATGCTTGACGCACGAGGATCCGTAAGGAACCCTTTATACCCCGGCCAAGCTGCCTTTGGCGTGTCCTTCGATAAAATAATCCTTGAGATCGGAGCCACGGAGTGTGCCCCCTTTTCGACCAAAAACGCCGGGCAATCTTAACCGCACCGACGTTTTGACCCACTGTAAATTCACATGAAATGGCCATACCACAGAGGAGCTCTGTAAACACGGGCATGGGTACTTGGGGCAACGGTGCGCTGCCTTGACTGGTGGGACGGCGTTTGGGGACAGCTGGCGTGGGGGGTAAGACGCAATGCGATGTGCAGCTCTCGACAGCGGTACGGGAGTTTGGTGCGATGGATGGTGCTCCTAGACCATGGGTCTGCTGTGCGAGGCCCAACTAACTAAAGCAGTTCGCCCAGAACAAACGTCGGACGAACTTGTTCTGCTATTGGTTTCGAGAAGCTTATGTGTGTCGTACCATAGCATGTGTACGTGGGTGGTGCATCAGCAGGTGGGCCGCATCAGTGTCAAAGTATACTACAACAAGGTGGTGTCTTGCGCAGTGTACATTTACGCATAAGGCTTGGTACCATGAACAATCAAACTATCACACCCGGACGATACGGCACTCGCTCCCATGTTGATCTGTTTTCTACCCCGAAGACCATGACGAGTTCAATAACAATCGATCCGAATGCGAAGAATGCCCCCGTATTCATGTTTCTTGACACCCGCCAGAGCGACTTGCCTTGTCCGTTGTATTGCCCCCAACAGATCGGCCTGTAACGTAGACCGTGCACCCACGCTGTCCGAGTGTCACCGCTATCCCCTTCCCGATGCCTCTGGACGACCCCGTCACGACTGCAACCTTGCCTCGTAGATCATCATCACCCCCAGCAGCAGCAGCAGCATCCGATGATGCCGCCATGCGCAGTGGAGCCAATGAGCGCCGGCGGCAGGTGCTGGAAATAGGATGCCTCTGCCGGGTTGCCGCTGATGGTCTTGAGAGCATCGAGGTCACGCTGTTGGTGGTGGTGGTTGGTGGTGGCATCGTATAGAAGGCGCCTGCTTCTGGCGCAAGAAGGACCACCGTCGCCACGGCAATCCGACAGGGCTTTCGCAGCAGCAGCATCATCATGGAGTAGAGAGGGGCCGCGGCGAGGACCCTGGATGATGATGAGCAGCCTCACGTTTATGCTTTGGGCTACAGCCAGCAAGCGCACAACCTGTATGACTCCTCGCGGCAAGGGGGAGGTGGCACCGGCTGTACTACCGCTGCGCGGGAGACAGGGAAGCTGCTGCGTACAGCGGGTGTGCCGCCCGACCCGATGCCCCGTTCTCCATTCTCCATGGGTAGCAGATGCGCATGTTTGATTCCCCCGCATTTTCTATTTCGCCGCATTCATGAGCTACTGCTGTTGTCGTACATCGTTCTGCCAGCGCTGCCCAGCTTGGCTCGAGGGAATGAAGGCCGCTCACAGCTTCGGGACAGATCTCCTTGTGCTCTTATTGGCTTTGTTCAGTTCCGCGGAGGGGTGGGGCGCGATCAAAGTACACCATCCTTCCCGCAACCGGGTGAGTAAAACGAGTGTCGACGGGAATCCACAAAGCGATCGGTGTATGTATGGACCAGTCCACATAATGTACAGCAGTAGACGCTACACCATAACCCACGCCACAGCACAAGGCAGCTTGATGTGTTTACTGGTTTCCCTCGAACCTACACAAGCCAAAACCGCAACCCATGCCTAGAGCACCAAACGGCATGTGTTTACTGTATTTACCCTCAACTGGCGACCACGCAACAGCGGTTGCAGTCAAAGGTCAGGCAGGTCCTTGTATGCTACTGAAGTAGGTGTCCTCGTTGATTCGCGCATGAATGGCGCAGCAGCAGCAGCGACATCGACAAGATGCATCCAAAAGCACGATGACCACTAGACTACAAGTCAGCTCTGACTGTAGTATTGTGGTCGTCGTGTTTGTTCGTTGAGTTATACAGCAGTGTCGCGGTCAAGCCGCAAGGAACGAAGTAAGATGCGGCTACAGCCCGTGTAGTCTAGGCGTACACACTACTGCTGTTAGCCTAATGCAGTCTAGGCGTGAAGAGTGTTTGCGTGAGGACGTCAAAAGGGTGTCAACTACTGCTGTACATAGCCCGGCTCAGCCAGACTGCGGGTGTTTGAATGTTTGAATGTTTGACTTTGCAGCTGGCCCTTGTGGGCAACAATATGTATCATACTCAGGAGCTTTTGCCACAACTTCACGGTTGAACTTTTGTACCTGTCGATTGTCTCTGCTGCTGTCGTGTTTCGTCCAATCCACAACTCGCACTGTACGCACGGCACGTCAAGTTCGCATGTGGTCTATGTACTCCACGGGGAGAGATGTAACTCCCATGGCCGGCACGCCTCCCATCACTCTTCGCATCTACCCGGTGTCCTTGCTTCGTCAATTGATTCCTTCATCAATCGATTCTTCCGCAATGCCTCCGTCACAACTGCTCCGTGCTCGAAGGGCGATCCAGCTGCCCTCCGAGGAAAGCACCCCGTCAGCAGCATCACGGCCTTTGGCACAGCAGCAGGCACAAAGAAACAGAAGCTCACTCGGAATGCGATGCTTCTAAACAGCAGTAGTAGCAGCAGCAGCAGCAGCCAAGGAGAGAAGGAGAGCGATTTACGACGGCAAGGTCGAGTCAGACAACGAGGAGAACGGGCCGAAGAACAACAGTACGATGTATTGGCCCGTTATCCAGACACGAGCGAAAAGAAAGCGTGGGTGCTGGCAATACCGCTGGAAGATGGAGTTGTCAGGGAGGTCGCGGAAGAGCTCGGCGCGCTCAACGCAGCACGTGAGAGCTGTCTCAATAAACATTTTTATTACAGCAGTAGTTGCCGCGCGGAATCAAGACCAGAAATTCAAGTACTGTCCGTTGACCCCCTCGCGGTAAACTTCGACGTTTGGAAACGGGGGCATGTTTTGAGTCTGTTGGCCTCCCGAAGTCTCAACACACCGCTCTTTTTCATGGTCGCAACAATCGCCGCCGTGTCTGCTCTTGATTGGCCCGTTTCACAGGTTCGAAAGAGCAGCAGTACGCCGGCGAGATCAGGACCCACTTTGCAGTTCTCCTGCAGGTGGGAGATGGCCGCTGCTTGTTGCTCGAGCGCCGGGGGGAGGGCGGCGTGACCGCTTCAGATGTCCGCCCCTCCGAGGTAAAGCACAGGGCGGTGCGCAGCGAGGCAAGAGTGGCGTCCTCTCTGGAAGAGATCGCTTCGGGTTTCTTCCGGAGGGAGAGCGGGCGGCAGTTCGACCTCGCCACCAACAACTGCCGGAACTTCGCGCACAACTTCTACCGCGAGTTTTGTGAGGACACGCCGTTCTCTGGTGCAGGCGGCGGCGGCGGCGGCGGCGGTGACGGTGATGGTGACCAGAATAAGAGCAACGTTGAGAGCTTCTGCCGCTGGGTAGAACAGATGGACCGCAAGGACGGCTTGTGACCCCCCCCCCCATGTCCATCGAAGATTTCCTTGTAAATACTACGGTGAACCAGGCACATTTGGGCCGCGGATCTCGCACGTCAGCGGAGGATACTTTTCAAACGCCCTTGCAAACAACTCTGCTGATGTACCCGTTCACTCCTTTGACTTGAATTTAGACTAGTGTGATTTTATCTTGATTTCAAGCAAGACTTGTGGAGGTAGACTGCATGATAAGTATGTTTAGAACAGCCTCTACTGCAGCCCTATGCGATAATTAACGATTTCTGTTTTTCCCGACGTCTTCCAACTGGTATTTTGTGCCTCGTGTGCATTTTCTGGTGCTCCTGCGGTTATTTTCAATATCTGTCAACATCAATAGGTTGGCATCAGGCCGCTTGATTCCGCTAAGTAAGGTAACGTCAGTGTCTGCAGTAGTCTCGCATCTCAAAGAGACCAATGCAGAATATGGCGCACTAAACCCGACCCACACAACTGAGTATTCGGTGTACACGGGCGAGCCTGTGCACAGCAACAAAACTGCTGTTCATCATTTGGTACATATGCACAATATATTAGTAGGCGGCGGATCGGTAACGGTGACTGCGGTGGCCTAACCCGCTGTCCCATCGTCGTACTTGTTGCGTGCGTTCTACACGCCACTGCCGTACAGAACTGCTGTGCAGAAGAACTGCTGTGCAGAAGAATTGCTGTGCCATGAGGGTAATGTTGTCATGCAGCACAATAAACCGTACCAAAAATGTACATACGATGGTGCGCACATGCAAGAAGAAGACCTGTTTACCGTGGGCCTGTGTGACCCTTGGTGATTCAAACATAGCCTACGCCGAAAGTTGTAGACTGGTGTCCAGCATCGTGAGACAAACACACACACAAAAGCTACGGCAGTCTTTAATCCGGAGAGTAGCGTAGACTCCCCCATGACGTCCCGTCACAGGGTCCCAAAACGTGGCCTTTCGGACCATTTTGTATTTTCAACGGCACTGAGACTGACTTTTCATTGGTCAGCTGGCTAGCGCAGTCGATGCTTAATAAGAAAACACGCACCTTTTACACCCACAAAACTCAATTGTGCACCAACCTATTGCCGATACACGGCACCACGACAAAAACACAAACGCCACAACTACAAACAAAGCAAACCGTTTACCTACTTGTACAGAGTGGATACACTACCCTCCCGGCCCGCATCGTGCATCAAAAAGGCCGGCTTTGTCGCGACAAGCCAAGTGATGATGTAGTTCAGCACACAAAATAAAGGACTCGAAGAGTAACCAATACAAACTACTTGTACTGCTGTGATGCACGAAGTCAAGGTTTCTTGATTGAGAGATCGGGCGTCGACGCGTCTGGTTCAATGCCTTCCGAACTCTCTATAACTCCCCTCGCCGAATATCCACCGGGTTCCCAAGCTCTAGCTTGGGTCTCAGTCGATCAAAAGTCTTTTTTTTCCGTCTGTGGAGTTTTCAGTAGCATAGCGGACCCCTTGCCCGACCGGGTCGAAAATGCCGATCTCAGCCCACACTGCGAACCTCCGAGAACTACCAGCAGTTCTGGGTAGCTGAGACGATTTCAAGACCTCTCACAGTCGTTTGAGCAGCTATCGTTTGCTGTGGGTCGATAACCAGTGCCTCCGTCGACAAGAAGATCTGCGTTACATCGTCACATCGGAACGACCAGATCGTCACTTCGGAACGACCAGATTGGTTCACTTGTCGTTGAGGGTCCTCTTTTTATAGATACTTTTGTATAAGAGGCGGACCCCTTGCCCGTTTTATTGTTGTTGTTGATGTGCGGACGAGACAGAGGACTGCCGATCTCAGCCCACACTGCAAACCTCCGAGAACTACCAGCAGTTCTGGGTAGCTGAGACGATTTCAAGACCTCTCACAGTCGTTTGAGCAGCTTATCTCTCGCTGTGGGGCGAAAACCAGTTTCGACAAAAGGATCTCATTGGAACGACCAGATTATTATTAGTTCGGGGTCCTCCTTTTATAGAGTCGTCTTCTTTTTTTTCGCATACGCGTACCACATTTTCCCAAGCTCTAGCTTGGGTCTCAGTCGATCAAAAGTCTTTTTTTTCCGTCTGTGGAGTTTTCAGTAGCATAGCGGACCCCTTGCCCGACCGGGTCGAAAAGGCCGATCTCAGCCCACACTGCGAACCTCCGAGAACTACCAGCAGTTCTGGGTAGCTAAGACGATTTCAAGACCTTTCACAGTCGTTTGAGCAGCTATCGCTTGCTGTGGGGCGAAAACCAGTTTCTCCGTCGACAAGAAGATCTGCGTTACATCGTCACATCGGAACGACCAGATTGATTGGTTGACTTGTCGTTGAGGGTCCTCTTTTTATAGATCTTTTTGTATAAGAGTCGTCTTCATTTCTTTCGCCGCCCGCGCCAAGCCTTCTTTTTAAACAGATCTTTTTATATAGAGTCGTCTTCTTTTTTTCGCCGCCCGCGCCAAGCCTTGCTTGCTTCTCTCGTGTCCCGCGCCAAGTCTTGCTTGCTGGCCACGCTTCTCTCGAGATGCTGACCGACCTCAGCACACAGCTGGACATTCTGTGTACATACAGCAGGAGCTGCTTTTGTTCTGTTGTTGCAGCTTTCTGCATGGCTCTTTTGTGGTGCGAAAACTAGCATTTATTGTTTGTTGTTGTTGATGTGCGGACGAGAGGACGAGAGTGGTAGGCAAAAAAAGCAGTACGTACCTGCAAATCTCCGGCAACTGCCAGCAGTTCTGGGTAGCTGAGACGATTTCAAGACCTGTCACAGTCGTTTGAGCAGCTATCGCTCGCGGAGGGGCGATAACCAGTGATTTTACGACTATAGTGACCGTTGTACACATGCGGTGGCTGCTGTTATGCTCGGAAGATGCTGCAAAGGTCATAATAAGGTTATCGTCTCTGTCGATTTGGATGCACGCCGTGCTCGCGTAGGAGATGCGCATTCCTCATTTTTCCTCTGTGCCGATATCCATGAAGAAAAGCAACGGCAGCACGGTTGAAGATACAGACAACAGACGGTCCGCCATAGTTTTTTTTTCTTCCCTTACATGCATGGATGGGTGGTAAAGCATCGTAAGCGTGTTGCTGCCTTACTTACCTTTAGTGTGCTGCGTAGTCGTAATTTGAGCGATAAGGGGTAGATGGCAGGACAATCTTATTTGCGTAGTGAGGTTTGACAACTGGTCGTTCGTGGAACGGTGCGCGTCTATCGCGACGGCAAGCGTATGCATTGAGAAAATAGTTCGTCCGTGGTGCTTCTCGTCATCATTTTCTATTTCGTTGTCACTTCCTACTTCATACCACAAGTAAGTAAGTGATGAAAGAGAGTCTCCACAGTTAGTTCGGAAACGGCGACTTTATATATTTATTTGGTTTGTTGCGTTTGTTTGTTGTTGCTGAGCGCACATCGGATGTCGCCGTTCGTTACAGCCTGCGGTGGGCCACAGGGACGAGAGTGAGTGTCTTCGGTTAAGGTTAGGGTTAGGGTTAGGGTTAGGGTCTCGAGAGTTAATTAATGCCTTCTCTACGTTTTCTTCTGTTGGTGTACGTAGTAGTAGTAGCACCTGTCTCTCTCTCGCCTATTATCGCCGTTGGGGTCCCAACAACATCGAACGTCAACCAACCGCAATCGTTTTGCTTCTTTCTGAGTACGAGGCTATTTGTGTAGTACGTACCCGGCTGCTGTATGTGAGGCGATGGGCGCTGCCTCTTTACTTGAAGCAACGGGGGCATGATGGCCCCTATACTGTTTGCTGCATGCTGTGCTATGTGACAGCTTCCAGCGGTTCAGAGTGGCGACGGTGGTTTTCGTATGCTCTTTTTTGCCACCTCCCTGAAGCCTGTCGCGTCTGGCTCACTTGTCTTTGTCGTCCCTTCGTTTTTTTCTTTTTTTTCTTAACATAGTCTATATTTTATTTTTCAGCTTGCTTTTTGGGGTCCGCCGGTCATCCGCCCACCACCCATTAGTTCAGTTTTAAATGTTGTTGTTGTTGTTGTTGTTGTTGTCTTCGCATTAAAAACCGTTCCGATCTCTCTCTACCCAGTACCTTCATTTGTCCTTACTGATCCAACACTTGACGCGGTCGATTCCCGTGGTCACAGGCTAACTTGCCATAAAGAGGCACGCTAAAACAAACTGGCCACGAAAGGTCCGCAAGTCAATAAAAATCAACGACAGATATTCTTTGGAACGGGGTGTTTACTTGCCATGTCTATGACTCTGCAAGTTTCACAATTAATTTTGAAGCTTTTCTGAAGCTAATTGAAACAGTAGTGTGAAGGTTCGATATCCGTTCGGTGAGGAATCAATCGCAAATCATGACCCGTCCCCGAGTTTGAGCAGCTTCCGCCTCCTGGGGCCGGCAAGAGTCGGCCTTCACTGCTGTACCTTGTCTGTTTCGCCATGGGAATGGCCGGTTGATGAACAGCGAAAGAGGGTCCTGCGTGCTGCGTGCCACCACCTTTTTTTTTTTGCGTTTGTTATTGTGATTTTCTTCCTGAGTGACCGTTGTTGTACACAACATGCGGCTGCTGCTGTACACATACGTACTTGCGGTTGCTGCAGTATATGCTCGGAATGAATGAATGTGCTGAAAAGAAAGGTCGTAAGGTTATCGTCTCTGTTGCTTTGGGCTGCACGCGTTGCTCGCGTAGGCGATGCGCGTCTCCTACTTTTTTCCAGTGTCGTTGTCGGCAGCACAGTTAGTTCAAGAGACAAACAACAACAGACGGTCCGCCTTTTTTTGTTTTGCTGCATGCATGGGTGGTATGCATCGGCACGCGTGTTGCTTCCTTGCCTTGAGTCTGCTGCGTAGTCGTAATTTGAGCGATAAGTAAGGTAGATGGCAGCACAATCTTAGATACTACGTAGTGAGGTATGATAACCAACAGCTCGTTCGTGCAGCGGTGCGCATCTATGGCGGACGGCAAGCGTATTGCGATAATAGTTCGTCCGTGGTGCTATCGTGCTCTTTTTAGTTCTCACTTCCTACAACAAGATAGTCCACAGCTCGCACACGGCGACTGACTATATTTGTTTGTTGTTGTGCTTGTTTGCTGTTGCTGAGCCGACATCGGATATCGCCGTTCGATACACAACGTGACATCATGTGTGACAGCCTGCGGTGGGCCAGAGGGACGAGAGTGAGTGTCTTCTCGAGAGAGTCAATGCCTTCTCTTCTCGAGAGAGTCAATGCCTTGTCTTCTCTCCGCTCTCTTCTTTTTGTCTACCTCTCTTTCTCTCTCTCTCGCCTTTCGCCGGTAGGGTCCCAACAACATCGAACGTCAACCAACCGCAGTCGTTTCACTTTTTGCTTAGTAAAAGGCTACCCGTGCATCCGGCTGCTGCATGTGAAGCGATGGGCGTTATGCCAAGCAATGGACTTGGGCCCTACCTAATATTTGCTCCATATGTAGTGCTATGTGAGAGTTTCCAGCGGTCCGGAGCGAGCGGCGACGGTGCTTTTCTTCTATGCGCTCTTTTGCCTCCTCCCTGAAGCCTGTCGCGTCTGGCTCGTTTGTTCTCGCTTCTTTCTTTCTTTTGTTTTTCATGCTTTGTTTTTTGGGGTCCCCCGGTTCCTGTGTGCTCATCGGGCGTCTTCTTGGTGTCTACCTTGATTGTTGCCCGCTGCAAAAATCGAAAGCTTCAGACAGGCAACGCGACGATACTCGTCGAGATGCCATACACAATGAATTCATTGCTAATCTGTCTCAGACTCTTTTCTATGATGGAGATGGATTCGTTGTGTCATATTAAGAAGAATAAAAATAAAAAAACATCCTGTCGTTACTCTATCGATACCTCACACCCACCCCTACTCACGCCGACGCAGACACAGACAGGCAGACTGAGCTCCTTCGCCTGTGCTGTATCTGTTGTTCGTGCGTGCTGAAAAATGGTACATACAGCAGCAGCTTACAGCAGCAGGAGCTGCTTTTTGCTTGTTTGTACAGCTTTTCCTGCAGGGATGGCTCTTGTTGTGCGGCAAGTTGCATTGTTTGTTGTTGATGCGGACGAGAGGACGAGAGTGGTAGGCAAAAGCAGTACGTACCGTGTTAAAGGGACAGACAGAGTGCCTACCGTGTGTACAAGGGAAGACAGTGTGTATGTAGACGTTGCATTTCGTGTTTCCCGAGGATCGGATGTATGTGTTGCTTTTTATTGCGTACCCGCGTCCATCACGACCATTATTGCGTAGTGTGTCGGCTAATTAAGGTCCTTCCCGTTCGTGGTGTCAGCACACGCGCAACACGCGACTAAAATAAAAATAAAAAGCTTGGGACTAGCAACGCCGACGATATTCGTCGGCTTGCTTTCAACAATGCTGTATTAGCAACTCTATTTTCAACTTCATGCCCATGCACACTTCACGCAGAGCTCTCTAAACGAGGAGGAAAAGAGCACACACAACGAGTACTTGCATCGTTTTCAATCCTCGCCCTTCACTTGCATGAGACCACCCCTGTCAAGCCCACCATCCCCTCGTCCGTAAGCTTCCCGTACTTGGGCGGCACTCGAATGAACCGCGAGGCCTCCGGGTTGAAGTCCGGGGTCTCCGCGAACCGCAAGAACAGGTTGCGGATGCGCTGCCGGAGCGGCCGCAGGCTGGCCTCCCCCCGCCCCCGGCTCAACAGGTCCGCCTCCCTGTCGACCAGCTCCGCGATGTCCCGGGTCAGCCGGCAGTCGAACTCGCTGACGGTCCACTTTAGGTGCAAGAGGACGTCTAGGCGCTCTTCGACGCTCAGGAGTGGGGCCTCGAGGGCTTCGTACATGTCCTTGAGTCGATCGATCGGGCAGCGGTCGGGCGGCACGACGCGAAACGACGTTAGGCTACGAAAGCAGACGGTGAAATGATTAGACACGCTGTTACAGTAAATGGCATTTTTTTTTGTCGTTGAATCTTGCGTGCCACAGGCGGCGTACTGAGTGTTGTGAATAAGTGGCTCTCTTGTCGGCAACAAAGTACTAGCAAAGTAAAGGTTAGGGTCAGGTCGTACTCACGTGATCCGCTGGTGTCTCCCTTGTTTTCTCTGCATATTTCGTTTGATCCAACCCTTTCAACAAGGTGCATCTCCTATCTTGCCCAGGCACGCCAATGTTGGGACGCCATCCAGTAGTCACCGCAACCACAAGCCCTTTCAGGATTATTTCACCTTACGGTTGACGCGATCAATGTCTCGACATGTGTTTGGGTGCAACACAACCACAGAAATTACCTGAAGGTCTCGTGCTCGGTTCGTCCAAGGCGTGTGGATC